TGTTGGGGGTGAGTCTTGGTGACGCCTGGAACTTGCGGAGCAGACGTGCGTGCGAACTCACGGGGCGTGATTGTTTGACGGGGGTATAGGAAGACCCAGTAAAACGGTACCCGCTGCCGCCCGCCGGTCAGTAGGGGACCTGAACCCGGGTGTCTCTACTAAACTCCGCCCCGGAAAGCTGTCCCGCCAACCGGTGTAAAATTCTGTCGTGCGGTCGTCGTGCCGGAGTCGGAGACCGGAGTGGATCCCGGCGATCGCACGCAGAGTGGACTGGGGGCCCTTCCATGCCCTGCGTCGGTCTCTCACGCAATCCGTGGTCGAGCACATACTATTTTCCGCGCTTCATTCAGGTGTTGCCTCGATCTCACCTCCAACATCCTACCTCTCCTAATCCTACTCTCCGAAAATTTAACAACTATGAAGTCGACAAAAAAAAAAGAAAAGGGTTTCACAGGCGGTTCCCCATTCCACATTTAATGTGGATTTCAGCAATGTCAGGGGCCTACATAGCTACTTTGACGCCGTACACCACCACCTTGAGACGGCGCAGCCTGCCCTGCTTTTTTTAACGGAGACGCAGATATCTGCTCCGGATGATACCTCATACCTTGAATACCCCGGCTACGTATTGGAGCACAACTTCCTGCGTAAAGCCGGGGTGTGCGTATTCGTCCGGGCTGATGTCTGTTGTCGCCGTCTTCGGGGCCTCGAACAACGGGACCTNAAACCTAACCTAAACCTAACCTAAACCTAACCTAAACCTAACCTAAACCTAACCTAAACCTAACCTAAACCTAACCTAAACCTAACCTAAACCTAACCTAAACCTAACCTAAACCAAACCTAACCTAAACCTAACCTAAACCTAACCTAAACCTAACCTAAACCTAACCTAAACCTAACCTAAACCTAACCTAAACCTAACCTAAACCTAACCTAAACAACTTCACACACACCGCTCTTCAAGAAGGTCCGTCTCCGATACTTATATATTCGTATTAACCAACCGCTTACAAACTTACCTTCCTACTGGACCTATTCACTGTGAGTCCGCGCAGATAGGTACCACCACCCCGCCTATTTCTGCCGTGAGGCATTAATGCGTTTCGGTTTAAAGTGTGGGGCAGCCGTTGTTACTGTACTGAGACCTTAGAACTTATATCTCAAGGTTGGTGGCGCATTTACGTTGTAGATGTCTATGGGCTCCAGTAACCACTTAACACCAGGTGGGCTGTGAGCTCGTCCACACATGTAAGCAATAAAAAAAAAAAAAAAAAAAAATTTAAGCCGAACCGATAACTCCCTACTAACGATGCAGATGGGTTTAATGCTGGCCAGGGAGTTCTGAATGGTGTTTTTGAGCCATAAAGCAAGATGGGATAGACGAGTGCTCCAATTGCATACTAAGTAGGTGATATAAACATAATAATATGATTTTTTAATAAAGCTAAAAAGAAAGCCTTTGACAAGATATGGTTGATATAGAAACCATAGATAGTTGCACTCCCTAACTTGATTTTCGATACAGAAAAGTAAACTTACCGTTTCTATTACACTGTTTATATGTATGCTTGTTAAGAAATATTAAAACATATTTATATGATTAATTAAACCGTCATCACGTATACTATACTTAGTCTGGCCATAAATATGGTAAAAAAAAAAAAAAAAAAAAAAAAAAAAAAAAAAAAAAAAAAAAAAAAAAAAAAAAAAAAAAAAAAAAAAAAAAAAAAAAAAAAAAAAAAAAAAAAAAAAAAAAAAAAAAAAAAAAAAAAAAAAAAAAAAAAAAAAAAAAAAAAAAAAAAAAAAAAAAAAAAAAATAACATTTATTACTTTTACAGTGTGTTAGTTTAATTCATAAATATAAAACAATTTAAAGTATAAAAAGCTTATTCGAAGTGGTCTCCATTGGCTGCAATACAGTCCTTTAAACGTTGAGGCCAGTTATCAATAGAAGCATGCACTCTTTCCATGGGAAAATTTTTCACTGTCAATCGTACGAATTGTTTTAGGGACTCCAAATTATGATGGCGTTTAGAGCAAGCCGTACTCTCTAAAACTAACCATAAATCATAATCCAGCGGATTAAGATCGGGACTACACGACGGACAGACTTCAGCTTTGATGAAGTCCGAAACGTTCGTTTCCAACCAAGACTGCGTAGACCGAGCTTTATGACCTGGCGCCGAGTCTTGCTGGAAGGACCATTCTTGATTATTGAACATGGTGTTGTTAAGGGGCTTCACTACCTTCTCCAGAATGGTATCTTGATACACTTGTGCCGATGTTTTGATACCTTTTTCACAAAAGTATGGCCCAGTCACTCCTTCATAGCTAATACCCCACGAAACCATCACTGAAGTCGGATAGTGCCCACGTTGCACTCTGTCGACTAATTTGGAAGCTTCTTTAGAGCTTTGAGCATAAATACGGTCATTTTGTTTGTTAAAATGTTACTCAATTGTAAAAAAAATTTCATCCGAAAACAAAAGTTTTCTATGACCTCCCTTTGCGTACCGCTTCAGTAGTTGTTTCGATTTTACCACCCTATTCTCTTTTAAATTATCAGTTAAGAAATGACCAATACGTCTCTTATAGGTTGCAAGTCCTAAATCATCTTTTAAAATACGCGACATGGTTCTAGGTGCTATCTTCATCTCCCCAGATAAAATCTTTTGCTTTTAGGCAGGATTTCTTCGAATTCTTTCCCTTAATGCTTTGACCACCTTTTTCGTACGAACACTACATGGACGGCCAGATCTTTTTCTGTCACAAACAGAGGAGGTCTCATTGCACCTATTAATAGCCTGGTACACAAACATTTTACTAATACCAAGCGTATGGAGAGTTTTAAAAATTGCATTTGGCTCCATACCTACTTTGTGTAATGCAATCACAGCGATTTGGTTCTCTTTATCACCCCACTCCATTTTAATATCGCAAAATATTGAACAATGTATTGGCGCCCAAATGAAAAAACTCAATGAGCAATCATATAAAAGTGACAGATTCCAAATTCAAATGTTTTGTCATTTTGTTTATTTTTATTTGTAACAGTATTTATGGCCAGACTAAGTATATTAGACACTTCATAGCCATCATACTCTCTCTCTCTTCGATCGGTTCCTCACTGCTGAGGATCGTGACTCCGTCCGATTTCGTCAACCAACTGTCTCCATCGATCCCGCCCTGCAGCCCGGTGGAGTGCGTCGCTGATAGGCATCCCCAGTTCCTCCGCTATTTGGTCCGACCATCATACTAATACTATACATAAATAAAAAAAGTAAGTGTGTGTGTGTGTGTGCAAGTCACTAACGTGTACGTCACAGTGAAACTTATAAAAATAAAAATAATCATGAGGGTCAACCGCTCCGCAGTGCAATGGAGCTGCCTCACCCTGGGGGAACCGCCTGCATGATCATCTACATCAGGTAAGTATGATTTAGCAAGAGAAATACGAGAACGTCTATGAAAACTATGTAACATCTCGTCACCGCGATTCAGGAATTGTTGAACTTACGTGCAGCGACATCTGTTGATAACAAACTAAATATAATGTAAATCATCTTTTATAGTATGAGGTAGCGCCCTCTGGGAATTGATATTTTAACTTCACGTATAATGTGCTCTATCTCATTCTCTCGTCGGCTGAATCCTATACATTTATGTGTTTGTGTCTCTATGGACTTATTTTTTCATTTCATCTAGTTTGAAATCACAACGATTCTAAAAAAGTTTCACTTCAAAAAATAGAAAGAAGAAAAAATATAAAAAAATATAATAGGGGTTGGGTGTTGCTTGTCTTATATATGCAAACTTGCCCGTAACTTGGAACGAATGATGTCGTTAGTGCGAGATGTAAGTGTCAAATATATTCTGTGCTATGATAGCTACTTTTTTCTCTACCTAAGCTGATAGCCTTGAGAGGCTATGTCAGCGTAACCGGGCGAGTAAGTGAGCTCACGGGACTCAAACCGGACATTGTTGCTAACACGAACCTTAGCAAGAGCCGTGCTTCGCAGAATCTACCATGGGATCGGAAGCGCGACCTACTGAGAAGATCTGGCGAGAAACTCAGTGGGCTGTGTGTTAATTTGTGTTAATTTACTCTGTGGGTTAATTTACCCGCTGAGCCTTTCGTCGCAAGCGACGACAGACGCAAGCGCCCTTTAGAGGATCGGGAGGATCTGAAATGACGTGCTTTGGGCAATGACGACTGTTTACCATTCGGTCCGCAGGATCGGGAATGTGATAGCTACCGCTACAATTGCTTAACTTGGGAAGTCATATTTCGGCTACCCGGTAGCTCTTTTTCGTACGTATTGAACAGTTTACACGCATTCAGGCAATGAGTGTCTCACGGATACGAAGGGAACTCGAAACACTTAGTGTATCAGGAGTCGATTGAAAACTTTTGTTACCCACGGGATTGAGACCAACTTGTTGGTGCAGAACTACTAAACCAACTATTACTAAACCCTTCACCTACGCTGGTGCGAGATGGTGCAGAAGAAGAAGTCGAGCAACGTTCAGTCTGACTTGTTTAAATATTTTGCATTGCAGTTCCAACCTGTACAGCCAGGATACGGTGGGCCCACTTCCATCCCGATCAGACCGCAAGTGTAAGCTTAGCCGTTATTAGGAACATCAAGAGGAGCTCTATGCTCGGTCAGATGCTGCACCGCGCGGAAGGCAAGGTGAGCCCGCTTGGAAATAACCAGTCTCCGAGGACCGGCTAGAGTCGAAGTCTCAAACACATATTTTTGGTAATAATAAATATTTTTGAGAACTTGAACCTACCATAGTCAGACCGTTCGATACGAGCGCACTAAGCGGTATATCCAATAATGTCCAATAGGCCACGGGCACTCCATGGTTCACTGCGATTCAACTGTGCGATACATCTACTTGATAGTGTGAAATGAATCTGTTTCTTAAAGTATGATGTCTTATGGTACAACATAAAGGGAAATAAAATCACATAATACAAACAATCGGTTTTATTTCGTCTCTATCAAAAAAAAATTCGACTTAGATTCGATCGTGGCATTCGTCGTATTATTATAAACTATAGTTATGTTATTATTAATTATAATATTTACAAGGTGATACAGTGAGCAGAGCATGTTGCTCGTAATAGTGGTGGTCTCAGCGGGGCGGAGGGGGGCGCGGCTTGGCGGTGGCGTACGCGATCTCCGAGAGCCGCACGTCGATCGGCGCGCGCTCGTCGTACAGCGTGGGCGCCTGCAGGATGATCCCCGCCGACCCCACCACCACCGCCAGCGTGAAGATCCACAGGAACAGTCGGTCCAGCACCATCGCCACGTACTTCCAGTCCTCCTTCACCTACACCAGCGCCAAACCCACGTCACACTAAGTACAGACTACATTCCATAGAGTAATAAAGTAGGAGCTCACAGCGGTATGAGCTTTTGTGAATCGAGAGTGAACAAGACGAACCCTAGTGGACTCCTCCTCCTTGCGTGTCTGTTCCGCGATGTAGTTGATGCCGTCGATTGCCTTGTGGAGCTCGGGACAGCGGTGCCAGCGCCGCAGCGTGTCGCACAGGACGGGTGCCTCCTCTGGCGCGCAGACGGCGCAGGTGGGCGCCGGGGTGCGAGGGGGCCGCGGGGGGGCAGGCACTTCCGCGTGCGGCACTTCCTCCCACGGCGCCTCCACGCCCGATACAAGTCCCGCGCTGCAATGCAAATAACCCACGCATGTCATCTGCACCATGCTACAACAACCTGCATATCTTACCATGTAGATTGACAATACGCACTATCACCAGAAACTATACAATTTATAAATATTGAAAGTATAATTTCATTGCACGTTATTCCTTCATCGTGGAAACGTTGCAAAACTTTGGTTATGTTCTTTTTTGGGTACCTTCTTGAGATTTTGAGCCCTGCCATAGTCGCATCATACGTACCCATCACACGAGTACCTGGCGCAGTGCTCGGCGTACCTATAAAATACTACGACGACTCAGTTCGGTCGCTTACTCTGAAATTATTAAAACTTTCACCCTCTTATTCTATGGTGATCAATTCACTTTTCGAGTCGAAGTACGAAGAGTTATTGGAATGTTATTAAAAAATATGAGTGTTGTGTGGGACTCACAAGCGACTGCGGTGGGGGTCGAGGCGGTAATGTGGTCGGCGCATGACGAGCAGTCGCGGCAACACGTGAATGAAGACGCGCCGCACCCACGGGGACATCGTGTGCGTCTGCGGGGACCGGAAGTGCACGTTCAGCACTACCACCGTCACGCATATACTACAATATTGTGAAAATACAGGTTAAGCAGGAACGCAATCCACTCACACGGAGTTGACAGACCAGATGGAGTGAGTTACCTGAACGTGTCGAGTATCATGGTGAAGAGGACGAACTTGCCCAGCAGAGGCACCACCAGGGACGTCGGCGGGATGATCTCCGCGAGCAGCAGGAAGAACACAGTCAAGGAGAGGAGGATGGAGATTGAGAGCGACACTTTCTCGCCGCTGTCGGAAGGCAGATAGAACACCAGCACCGTCAGAAATGAGATGCCCATGCACGGGATAATCAGGTTGACGGTATAGAACAGGGTCTTTCGCCGCATCGTGATATTGAACGTTATATCCAGGTAGGGCTCGTCGCAGCACGTGTAGAACTTTTCATTTCTGAAGGAAGAGGGTTTTGTAATGGTGAGCAATGATGCAACCAGCGAACATTCAACACACAGTACTGCTGTATGATATTTATTGTTGGAGCTTACCGGACGGCAGGAACCTCGAGTATGTCCCACTCAACAGACGTATAGAACTCGGAGAGGTCCACCCCGAGCTCCACCACGTTGGTGCCGCGCACCTCGTCTATGTGACGGAGGTCCACCTGCGCATACAAACTGCTCTCTAATATCGTCCACTTTATCGTAATGCTTAAAATTCAGATCACTTCGGTGGGGCGGCGGCCTCTACAAATGTGTCACCACTATCCTATCCTATCCTTCAGTCCACAGAGGTCCACTGCTGTCCCCCAAACATCGCCACAACGATGCCGCCACATGATCGCCACATGATATTTGAATCGGAACGCAAACACTTCGATAATCTTTGTAAACATTCATGCAATTTCGGGTGGATAGAATATTTCGCTCGGTACTTAACGGCGGGCGGCGATAGCATCACGACTGTTACTCACTACGGGAATGATGCGTCTAAGGCAGTGGTGGGCCACGCGCGGCTCGCAAACCATTTACGAAATGTTTACTTCAGGCACGGAGTATTGCTTATTATCTGGCCTTGTAAGGGTCAAGTAAACATTTTTTTACGCACTACTAACCTAACGAACCACATGAACCCCTATTGTTGCTTTCAACGCTTGCTTTACCAACTCCGCAGTAACATTTTCAAGCAGAGATACTTTACTACCCCGCAAACTTCTTTTTTATCCATTTTTAAAAACACATTCCGACACGACGCAAACATATGACTTGTCTTTTTAAAAAACAAAAGTAAATTGATTGCTTTTTAAAAGTACACAACTAAATATTATATATAAGATTACCTGGAATCCGTCATAGGTCCATGAACCAAACTTCATGACGCACGTCTGCTGATCGAAGGGGAAGTACTCGACGTCGATCTCGCAGGAGGACTTGTAGATGGCGGGCGGGCGCCACTCCACGCGCCCCGTGTAGTTGAGCGTCGCCTTCGTCGCCAGCGTCACCTCGAAGTTCCCGTCCGCGCTGAGCATCACCACAACACAGCATTAGTGACCGAGTAGTGCAATGCAATACTGCAATATTATACTGAACAGAACGGTTACTTGTTGTAGAGCACGATGTCCGGCCTCCAGATGTGGTCCGAGGGCACATGCAGCATCTCGACGCCGCCGTACTCGCGCGGCTCCCACGACAGCTTGTAGTCATACCAAGTCTGAAAACACCACACTACAATAATAATAATTTATGACAGACATTTGTTCCAAACGTTGATTACGTAAAAAACTAATTAAAAATATCAATACTGAAAAGGTTCTCAGAAACGACAAACAGTAATTCGACCTTCCACCGGCATCTGGCTCGGCGGCCAACCATTCCAGTGTTATAATAACAGTTTCGTTCACAAAAGGCCAATAATCATGTTAAGGCTTCAACAAAAGTAATACGAAGTAGAAGGGCCCTCCCTGGTTTAAATTAATTATTATCACATTCACTTCAATACTCGTCATTCAGGTAGTGGTACTCCCGTCACAGTGCAGTGTGCACCATTGCTAAGGTTCTGACTGTGAGTCCTCACCTGTTCCACCCATAAATTCGTTGTCATAATTTGATTCTTGAGGTTCTGGAACAATTACAATGAAATATATTTTCGATGTCTTCATTATCAATTATAAGTATCATTAAAGTGGTCCGTGCACAGTCAAAAACACATATCAAAGTGTCCTGAGAACGTCCGAGACTAGTGACAAGGCGCCCCGTGAAGGGTTGTGTGGGAGCGTGTCTTGACGCTGGCGGCGGTACTCACATTCTGCTGTCTTTGAGTTCCGGTGAGCACTCTAATCGAGGCTTGATGCAATATAACACATAAACTGAATGCAGGAAAGAATCGTAGTAGAATAGTGCTAATGATTATTATGCAATTGTGTGCGGTGTATGTACGTGCACTGTGTGGGGTGAGATGGTCGTACCACGTCGATGAGCTGACTGAGCTTGAGCTTGATACGCACGGTGAGCGCGTCGCTGACGTTGAGCACGGGTCGCACCAGCTTGTTGTAGTTGCTAAGCAGGTCGTCGTAGAGCCGCTTGGCGTCCGGGTTGCCGGCGCACCCTGCGTGCGACAGTGCGCGTGTTAGTACCGTAACGAGGCCGGGACGCGAGCCCAGGATGACGTCACCGCGTGGGTATACCTGCAAGCGCGAGCAGCAGCAGCAGCGGTGCCGCGAGAGGCGGGGCGCGGCGCGGCATATCGGGCGCGGCATGGCGTCAGCGCATGGCGCGTTCCCGCCCTGCCCGCGCTCTTCCCCCCCGCCGCGCCCTCAGCACGCCGCCTCTCTCTCACTGCACCCACACATCGCCGCCACACTGCTCTACCACAGCATCACACACGCGACATACACTCGTACCGTGCACGGTTGTACCGCACATGGGCACCGCACACTTTGTATGTATGTATGTACTCGTTTGTGCAGTTAATGTAGTAAAAAGTATATGTGCATACTGTAACAAAACAGAAAAATATAAACATAGTGAAAAAAAGGCTAAATAGCCAACTCAACTTATAGGCCCATCTGACAAAATTATTGTAAATTTTTCCCTGCCTATTCGCTAGTAGCCTAAGGGGCTATCCCAGGTTTGTTCCCGGCAAAACTATAATATGCGTATAACTATAATATAAAACTATAATATGTCACCAGTTTATATAACTATAAACTGGTGACATATTATAGTTTTATATTCTTGGATCTTGTGAGTCCGCACAGCTACATACCACCACGCTGCCTATTTCTGCCATGAAGCGCTAATGCGTTTTGGTTTGAAGGGTGGGGCAGCCGTTGTAACTATACTGAGACCCTAGAGCTCATATCTCAAGGTGGGTGGTGCATTTACGTTGAAGACGTATGGATCTAGGGACTTTTTTTTCTCGTGCCGAGTCCAAGCCTTTTACGAGGTTGCCGCGCCTAGGGGGCGCGCGGGTTATGTGGGATTTGACGATCTGCAAGTGTTGGGGGCAGACCGCAGGCCCAAGGAATTTTCGGGCCCTACCGCACTAAGCGACTCTCCTACACTCTTACACCCGACGTCCGATCTATGTCCGGGGTCAGAATCTGGTCATAGTAGGGGGGTTCCCGCGGTCAACACTGCAACCAGAGACGCAGCGCCAACCCGAAGACGCCCGACCGACGGGTTGTCGAGGCGATAGTCGACGACCAACGACGCCGGTCTCCGCGGTACGGCGGGCATACCAGGCCACCCGGGCGATGCCGCTGGTGTTCCGGGACACCCCGACCGGGTCCCTGGGGCCAGAACCAGCCTGCCGGGTCGGAACGCGATACACCGCCGACCGGGTTGTGTCTATGAGCTCCGGTAATCACTTAACACCAGGTGGGCTGTGAGCTCCACCCCTTAAGCTAATAATCTAAGCAATAAATAAATAAAAGGTTCATGCGGACGGGTAGGTAAGCTCACGGGCTCAACCCGAGAGAATTTGCTAATACTAGCCCTAGCACTTCGCAGAATCTACCACTGGATCGGAATCACGATGGGATTGAATGACCTGGACAGAGTTTGTGTGGATACGGGTCGCGCCAGCAAATATTAAACTTGCACAGATCATGACGGAACACATGTAAGTTTTCTAGAGTGTGACCTTGTTATAAAGGGACAATTTACTTCGCTTGCAGATCATGGGGTAGAGCCAACCGAGTAGGAACGCGGCTCGTTCATGTACTGACTTGATGTGGAGACCGAATGTCAGGATCCTCGAGGATGATGACCAGGTACTTGGCCTTCGAGGCCCACCGCGTGCAACTGCCAAAGAGTTTGATAGCAGGAATAGAGTTTTCACGCCTAATTCAAGACGAAATATTAGCAGTGGTGTCGAGAGGTCATCGATCACGATCACTTTTTGAAGAGGACGGCTGTACTTTTCGTGAGGTTAATTCCGATGCGCCACTTCTTGGAATCATTGTGCTAAATTGGTTTCCGCGATCTGGAGTTTACTATACATGAACGACATCAAAAGGAAAGGAACGGGCTAACCGAGTCGGCAGCGGCCGCGGTATATTGTTTATGTATAGGCTCCAGTCGAGATTTATCACAGAAGACAGCGAAATCCCTCTACTCGATACCGGAACGAACGGGTTGACAAAAGTCTCGTATGATGAGCACGGGACTGGCTGGCAGATACGAATAATTACATAAATTAATAAACGGGTTTAGTCATGAACACGTTGTAATTGTTTGTTTAAAAAAATGATTCGCTCACACTATATTTCAATAATCTCTACTAAGAAACCTATCTTACGGTTTCAAATCCATACTCATATTCAGGGCTACGATTAATTCATCAGTTCGTCTAAATAGTAATAAAATAAAAAATATAACTAGACAGACGTGTCGCATTAAATCTACGCTACTTGCAATAGATTGTTTTCGGCAAGCCGACTTCCGTATCCACGAGAATCTTTAATTAAACGACTTGACAATTAATTAATCGTTAATTAACAAAATGTATGCATATAACGAAGAAATGCAATACATTTTGATATTTTGTACGGGAAAGGAAAAAATATGCATTTTGTTGATTTAACGCAGTGATGGTAAGATTAGCAAAGAATTGATCGACCTATTCCCCTAGCAGTCGATAAAGTCGATGCTAATTTTGAAAAAGAGGAGCAAGATCATGTATTCAAGTAAACTGCGTTGAGCTGTGCATCAGAAACATGTTGGTCTACAAGCTTGTCCGAGGCGCCGCTTGTCTGGCGAACAGAGCAGCCTCGTACAGGCAAAGGTCCGTGTCGCTTTCTCGAGACGTGGACCTACGTCCTTTAGGTTCACCACAATAATGCTCCTTCGCTCAAGGCCACCACTGTGAACGAATTTTTGTACAAAAACTCAACAAATACCACCTTATTCAACAAATATGGCCTCAGCCGACTTATTTCTTTCTCCTTAACTCAAATTACCACTTCGTAACACCGGTTTTCAATCGGTAGGAGACATAAAAGAAAATTCGCAGTGAGAACTGAAATCAATTCAAGAACAAGAGTTTAAAAAATGTTTTGATGATGGGTTATTCGTTGGCATAAGGTTGTCTTTTCCGAAGGAGTATACTTTGAAGGTGATCAAATAAATTTGGATGAATAACTACCATTTTCTGTATTGTTGATCTTTTCCGGGAACTTTCTTGACAGAGTAGTAAGTAATTTCACTATCAGAAGTTCTGATTTCATTAAGGCTATTGGCCACCCATCAACCAACTTCTTTTGTTCATAACAGAATTTTGTGGTTTATTGTTGCATAAAAGTGAAATTCATACGAATTTCAACACTTCAATGGATACTTAATAAATAATCGGGGACAACACCACGCGGACCACACACGCTCCCAAACCAGGATTCCCTGTACTAACGGAATCAGGAACTGATATACATACTCGTATATGTTATAAATACATAAGTATACGGATATTAGATAACCAGACACGGAGCGAGGAAACCTGTTCGTCACACGAATATTTGCCCGATGTGGAAATCGAACCTTGACCGAGAGACAGTCGGTAACAGGGGCAGTCAGGGGCAGTTATTAGCGTGCCGTCCAGTCTGTCAAATGTGGAATTATTAAAGTTACGAAGTTTAATAATTAGAACTTATTTATTTTAGGCATCATCATTGAGTCACTTATTTTTTCGAAGCCAACAACAACAAACAGTTTCCTTAGCTAAAATATTTATTTACAGATTTTTTTTCTACCACCCATTACAGACTATCGTGCGGCGCACACGGCTGTAATTGTTATCGCAGTCCATGGGCGCAGTTAAGCCGCTGTCTGCACTCATTGTTGGGTGGTGCGTGGGAAAAGCGTCACTAAATTAATTGAACTTGATGCTCGGATTCACCTAAATTTCTCTAAAATAAATGAATACAAACCAATTTCATTGAAAAGTTTATTTCGAGAGAAGAGGGTCGGACCGAAAACAATATTACGTAAGGAGGTCCAGACTTCTAATGCTGTGTCAGGGATATCTGATGGGTGTACTGGTGTTGAATCATGTTGTTCATTGGAGACAATCAATATCAAATCGCAAAGCTTAACATGTCAGGTACTTTAGGTGCTTTCGAATACACTTTGCATGTGTATGTGCGATGGTCACACGGAAACCATCGTTTCTTCTCCATCTCGACAACAACACAACAAGAACGTTGCGCAGTCAATGCGGTGAGCAAACAGTATTTCAGAAAATATGAGGTTCGTTCAGAGAGGATTCCCATGAGGGACAACGGAATCTATCTATTCTATAAAGTATTCCATAATATGGGCCACAACGTGAGTATTCTATAAAGAATACTCATGTTGTGGCCCATTTTCGATTCAATTAGGCACTTCCATCATGGGAGCATCCACAGCTCCAATCTCGTGGAAGTTTTAGGGATTCCCGAATTTTTATTACGCTTGTATGGAGACAAATGAACAGTCCACCTGATAGTAAGTAGTCATCGAAGCTCAGGGACTTTAGTATTCCCAGGAGTAGAGACAAGACGCTGCCTACAAGTGAGAACTCACGTCAAGCCTTGTTTGAAGAAGGTCACGTCATAGCGGTCGCAGAACGCCCCACCGCCGCTGCGTCTGCCAGCGTACTGTAGATGAAGGCAGTGGGTTCAGATAGCGTGTATGACGATGTTTTGGAGAAGACCGGTGCAACGGCACAAATAAAATAGCGGGGTCATTTCGAACAAATCCTCAGAGCATTCCCAGTAGTACATACGGTACAAAAAGAGAGAACCGAAGTTCTGCCGCTTAAGGCATTTACAGCGTGCGGGGCTCGCTAAAAGAGACCAAGCATAATGAAGCTGATTAAGCATGGAGCCAAACGACAGCCACTCTTCAGCTCTGGTCAACTGAGGAACGCCTCCTTCTAGTCACGCTTCTGGAGACCGACACACACATAGATTGCATCTTGCTAACTAACAGGGACCAGCAATAACATCATATTATGAGAATAAAACCCTATTATTTCAGAACCGATTCGATGGTCAGGTATGAGTTGAGCTCTCATTACATATAAATATATATCAAGCAGCGTCTATTTGCTATAGTACAGTCTCGAATGGTGGATTTCTTCGGACACGTTTCGCGACGAGATGGCCGGTCCATAGAACGCCTCGTTGTACAGGGAAGCATTGATGGTACAAGACCGCGCGGGAGGCCACCAGTGCGGTGGACCGACCAAATTAAAACTGCAGTGGGAGGACCCCTAAATGAGTGCAGCAGAATGGCCTCGAACAGGGAGAGATGGCGGTACATCGTGAAACGCATCAAGTCTGCCCCTTCCAACACTACATGACGATCACAACCACTCTGTCAAGAGTGACACGATTGACAAGAATATATGACTTCATTACACCTGTATTCAAATAAGGTTTACTTTGTCAAGTTAATTCAAGATTTGTATAGCATATGAGGATCTGTGAGGGTCTGCGAGACCAGTGAATGTTTTATTGTTCTCGTTGACGTGTAACAGGAAACAGACACTCCTGAGGACGTCGTGGTTGCTGGTTCTAAACGGTAGCAGTGCAGGTGGCTGCCGCTCCAAATATTATATGTACCGCTCAGATGCGAACGATGGAGAAACATTATACTCGTATAAACATGGCCCTCTGCACGATGCACTAGCACAAGCACCGACGACACACTACTTGACACGTGCGATACCTACAATAACAAACACACACAGACAAGATACACGTAAACCAGTGTTATATCAGTAAAGTACGATTGATAGCTCTACTAAATATTACATACAATTATGCGGGTAAATTATTTAAATAGAGAAAAGATCCGAACATTTTACTACATACATCCAGAAAGTAAAGTTTGCAATTAAAATACGAACTGAGCAATGACACGAACACATAATTCTGTTTTAGTAGTAAGTAGTAAGTACAGCGTGTAACGTGAATCGACCAAATGGGACGTCGCTTAAGGCGCCCCTTGCGGCGTCACTCCGGTTGTGTCGAAGCGGTGGCTTAATGCCGAACTTGTGTGCATTTTAATGTAGATAAAACTTAACACTAGAAAATCCGAGCATAATCTATGCTTATTCATAATATCGGAAATTGCTTAGATCAGTAATAATTCTACACGACCGCGTTGAGCGATGGGTACGCACGACTTTCATTAGATTACATATACAAACAACATATTGTGTGAATTGTACAAAATTCAGAAGATATGATGTCATTATCGTACGATTAAGAATGTATAAAATTTAGTGTTGATAAAATGAAAAGTCAGAAGAAAACATATTGAATTAGTGCCTAATAATTAAACAAGTTCTGATTATGGCTGTAGGATGGTCGGAGAGCAGATCCTGAGTACCTATATAAGTTTGATTCGCTGATCTGATAGCTGTTCTCAAGACAAAAGACGACATACAGGTCCCTAAATAATCTAATTCGGTTGTCGCGAGATTTAGATCAGCAGTTAACACTTCTTCTGACACTAATTGATTTTGCAGAGAAATTAACCATTACGAAGGAACTTAGCATCATATACACATTATTTGTCTAATATTTGGGGGAGGCAGTGGTAAAGGATGAGATGTCGATGAGGATCCCTGCTGTATGCGGTTCAAATTCACCTTTAGGTTCTAGTGTTAGGTTCAACTAAATAATTTCCTTGGTTTTCATAACTTCTTTCGCTTATTTGAACATTCATGAAATCAAATTAGAAATCAAGAATTAAAGAAAAGGCTTATATGGGGTAAATGTGTAGTACTGTGACATGAAGCCAGGAAGATATTGAATGGATCCAGTTACAAGTACTTAAAGCAGAAACTAAACGAAATGAACAAGAAGCGAATAGATTCACTGATCACGAATACACTCACTAGGAAGGTCGTCAATTTATTTGTCAGCCACCATGGCTCGTCGGCCACAACTCATGCGACTCTCCGTCGGCTTCTAGCCACACTATATTAAGTACCTCCTTTTGTTTTATTGATAATCTTTTAATTTTGTGCTGATCACTATAATAAATATAACAACTGCATAAAGTTTGCGGAGTACAATAGTAATGGTTCACGTGAATAGCTTAATATCGGCGACACAGATCACACGTGGATTGAACTGAAAATGACCGCGAGCTCGTCGCCCGTGCGGAGTGCCCGCCACGTGTCGTTCCGCGGCCGCGACGCTCGCGAGAGTGACGCGCGGCGCGGCGGTCGAGGCAGCTCCCTTCCCGCCCCGCCCCGCCCCGCCTCCCCCGCCGCCCGCACACACCCTCGCCCGTCGGCGGCTCACAGCTTGCACGTCGCCGCTCGTGAGCCTCACCTAAGCGCTTCTGTCACGACAATTTTCGATCCCACATCGAATACCTTCCTGTTTTCTGCGTACAAGGGTGAACGAGCTCACAATCGACTTGATCTTAAATGGTCACTGAACCCTCAATTGCATAGTGTGATGACTGTCACAAGCGTTCAAGTCTACCTGAACGATGGACTGCTTCATGACAGAAATATCGAAGGTGACGGTACCTGCCCGTGAGGCCTTTCGCCCCATCAACAGTAAATAGTGTGTTAATAAACATGAACGTGGACCGCGTCACGTGCAACTAGTCTCTCCCGACTCCTGGACAGATGGATGCGTAATTTGAATCCTGATGGTGTGTTCTGTACTTCTACTTGGTTTCAAATTAATGTTAATGTATAGTAATACGAATCAGTTTCGGATAATAAAAATAACTATCTTTAGTTTCTCGAAGCGATAATTCATAGCAAAATTAATATATTGGAAAAGGTTTAAGTGCCAAGGTCTCCATTGAGATCTGAGAAATGAAACAGTTATTTCATAATAAGTGTGTTATGTAGAATGTCAATCCGACATCAAACATTGGGCACTACTTACTTTCTCCAGGTCATCCGGTACCGTTTCTGCAGGATAGCCATTGGAGCCCGTAGTACATGAGGAATGTGGTCCTTCACGACGATTTAAATTTAGAACTGATACTTAAGTATGTACGCATGTATCTTCAGATAGCGTCACAACGTTACTTCGACAAAGCGGCGCGGCACAATAATCCTCTTAACATGGCCGCTGCTAATTACCTATCCGACCCAGGTGACGGGAACCCAAAGCCGCCCTCGCCCGAAACATGTCTTGTCGGATCGCCGGATCCACTCTCGATGCTTTTAGGTCCTTTAAGCACCGGTCGCCGTCCTCTTCGATCTTGATGATTATGACGCCAAGCTCGACCTGCAAACTAGCTCGTAGACACAACAAACTGAGTTTCTCGCCGGATCTTCTCATTGGGTCAGGATTCTGATCCGGTGGTAGATTCTGCGAAGCACTGCTCTTGCTATGGCTAGTGTTACCAAATGCTCTCAGGTTGAGCTACCCGTCCGGACGTATATAGCTGGAATAGCCTCCAGGCTACCAGCAAGTAGGTGGAAAGAATCTAATCTCTGTCTAATCCATCAAACAAATGAACGACTTTCGGTTACTATTCGAATTTGGCGATAGGACTGTTTCATATAAGGGAAGCTTTGATGATTTACGTTCACGAAACAAGAACGTCATCATAATTTCTTAATACTAGGAATTAAAAAACAGATAAACACAATACACATGGCTTCATTACTAAACTCACTATTATACTGCGTTACTTATAGTATACAAGCGTCGTGCGCGAGCGAGTCAGCGGAGCGCGCTTGTACAATAGTTTAGAACTACGTCGGACCGCCGTCACCCCACCGTCACCCCGCCGTCACCCCGCCGCCGAGCTTTGATGCAGTTTGATATTCAACTGGAAACCAATTAGCGGAACCAAGTAAAATCTTGAAGGAATAGTTGAGTTGGAATGGAAGTCTTTATAGCCGTCTCGGTGCCGCGTCGGAACCGGGCCGGTGACGGTTCATTACGGCTCGGCCGCATTCTTCATCCGATCTCCGGTAATGCAATCACTTCGATAGCATCGAACCTATCTACGTACTTCTATATATTTGTAGACAGAGCTGGTTATTAAATCACGAGACATTCTGAGAACTCTGTTCTGCTACAAAAACACGTACGAAAAATTATACCAGCTACAACATACTGATTATTTAATTATTTGATTAGACAGACTAGCACACAGTCGCAGATCTCGATTCGAGAATATCTCGTAACGTGTAATATCTTTAGAATGTGATGCTCGCCCGGCCGTAGTTAATGTATTAAGCTGATATAGCTGCTGAATAAACCCGTATAAAGTATGTATTATACTTAAGATACGGTTACGGATATTGTATGATATAGAAGGTTTCATAGAAGACGGTGAGTGTGTTTAGTGAGGTGCCTCTTTCGATAAGTTTCGATAAGGAGCGCCGGTAATGTGCAGTGCCGTAACAGTGGCCGGATCCTGCCTGCTCCCCCGCCTCCCAACCCCCCAGCCCCCACGGCCCCCTCGAGCTCGGCTCCTTCACCTTATCGTGCCCGTTGTGTCGCTTGTTGGTCTGTAACACGCGAGCAGACCTGCAACATGACGACGTCATAAACTATGTAGCAACAAAGTGCTTTCTTACTTAAATACACAAAAGAGTGAAGATTGCGTAAACATTTTCATGATTTTAAGTATGTATCGCTCGTAATTGATTTTCAGAAACTTGAACATAATTAGACAAGGCACGCATCTACGAATTTACAACAAAATATCTCAACAACTCTCGACTCAAGGCAAGAAAACACTCTCCATCATTTCAGTCATGATATCTAAGGAAGACGCACGGCTGTGGCTGACCCAAAGTATTTTTGGGATTGGGTATGACTACGGAGCACTCAAAGCGTAGGCATCATTGATCTCGTGGCTATTTTTGGTTGGTGTTTGTATATGGATAGTCGTTATTCCTAAGAACAAAATGTTGTACTGTTCCATGTTTCAGAACGATGTCCCGGTTCCATGGGTGATGTGAGTCCTTGACATAGATCTCTGCAGCGAGTCTCCTGCGTGTTGGCCGCCGTGTTGGCAATCGAAGTCGTGCAGGCCACAGCGCAGATACACTGCAAACTAACCACTTAAGATTACTTTACAGTTTGCATTCATTAAATTTAATTATAGTTTTGCCTCAGATTTCTGAAATTTATATTTATTTATTTAATACAACAATACAATGTAAACAGTTACGGGAACTTCAAGCTCGCTACCATATTGTGATTAAACTCTAAAGCAATTACCATGTAGAGTCGAGGGTTTGTTCCAGTTACATAATGTAACTGTTCCCTGCAGATGTCTTCGCTGCCCCCGGTCACTCGGCACTGTGTGGTGCGGCTCTCCCGTTACCGACCCATTACCGCCGTGAGCGATGAGCGACACATTCAGCAATTGATATAAGTACTGTTTCCGGAGCAGCGCCTTACCAAACCAGGTTTGTGATTCACAAATATTATTTTACATATTTTGTAGCTCATTGTGGCTCATTTGTATGTTCATTAAACTACATATTGCTGACATTATTGGTGGTATTTTCGATGCTACACCTACGGTTCGGTTGTTACAGCATAGGTGAGTGCGCGAAACTGTGTTATCAATGTTATCATTAGACGTGTTTTTGTTTGAGCATTGAGCACAGTTCACAGATAGAGTGGCACGCGGAAGGCCCCCCGCCCCGCCCCGGGCGCGCATCCCCCGCCCCGCCGAGACCCGCGACACGCCCCTGACCCACATCCGCGCTGCGTTACTATCTCAGTCGAGTGAAACACAACGCACTCGGCCGCCGCCAAACGCCACCTCACGCTTCATTTTTGGCAACCGAACAATATCGTTCGCAGATTTTCTGATGAGTGACTGATCTACTAGTGGACTTGGTGCGTGACGTGTTCCACTCGACTTACTCGTAAAGCCATACCTATTGTTGAGTTCGCGGAGATGGCGCTGTGGCAATGGAACCCGTCGCGGATTTCATCTCGGATCGACATCGCTTCAACCGAAGCTCTTATCGCTATGTCATATAGAGCTTGTGAGGCCGCCAGGCTAGATAGGTACTAATATTCTCCGTACTTCTATCGAGAAATAGTAATGCGTTCCGATATAAAGGGTGGGGTAGCTGTGATCCAGTACTATCGATATCTCTGGATTCCACATCCGGCATCCACTTTATACTAGCTTTTGCGCAATCAAGATTACAATAAAAATGAACACAACAAATTGATTCTTATTATTTTATTATTATTTTTTTAAATTTTTATTTTCTCAGCTTATGCTGGTAGTACTTTAGTGACATTTACGGACTCGGTCAAGTAAATGTGACGGTTTCTTGGGGTTGGCTAACTATTGCATTATGTGGTTGATCATATTCTATTTGCAGAAACTTTCGTACGATTCTGAACGTGTTTAATATAGCAGCTTTTTGAAGAAGTATGTAGGTGCTAGGTTATTATTATTATTATTATCATTATTATTTTGACATTAATATAGATGTACGCCACTGTATCTCTGAGCGATAAACGTTGTAAGATGAGGAACAATTCCTACTAAAAAAATTGTTAATAGTTCATATACTTGAAAGAATAAAAAAAATTCAGGTGTCTGGTATGGAACCAAGACGGCACGCACGCGAATACACACGAGTCCAGCTCGGTGCATATCCCTCTCCATTTCACAGCATGCTATTACAATTGTGAAATAATTTCAAAACGTGCTGGTTTGGTCTCCTCGCCGAGCCCGTGACTGCGGTTGAATTATCGGGGGCACCGCGCCGCCCTTCTGTTACTGAGTTACTGAAACATTGAGCTAAGAATCAAGTTTGAGCAGCATTCACGTTCAAGAGCTCATAGGCCACAATAAATCACACAATATCAGGCTGTGAGATGAATTACCCATCTACGGTGATACGAAGGCCGGTGAGTTCGACAGAAGATTAGAAGAGAAGTCGTTGACCGCAACTTCCAATACTAATTTTCATTCGGAGCTCTACTTATCTACTTTATTAGTTATGGTTCGCAGTTTGCTGGTTGCTTGGTCCAAAGTAGCAGATGATTGTGAGGAAAATTATCAATTTTGACGCAAACTTAAGGAAATGAAATGAAAAATAATAATAATAATTGTTCAGGCCACCCTGCGGATTTAACAGGACATTAACACTTGTAAGAAATCTTGTAGAATATTGAATACTATTTTATTGGTTTCACCTATATTTATCTAGCATAGTATCCATCT